AGGGGTTTAGGGATGTGGGCTGTCGTGCTGCTGGGTCTTCACCATCCTAGATCCTTGGGATAAATACATTGCTTACGGTGTATTCTTCACCCCCAATCCTGGAGGGATGTCGTGTGGGCGAAGAAACCCTCCAGAGTCCTCCCTAAACCCTGAGGCTTGAGCTCTGAACCCCGAATGTGGGAATTGCCCAGAGACTCCAAAACCCCTTAATTAAGGAATATACCTTAAATCATATTAGGGGCCCCATTATAATTTAAGGTATATTCCTTAATTAAGGGGTTTTGGAGTCTCTGGGTGGTTTTGAACAAAACCCTGGTTCTTTTGGGAGCCAAAGTTGGCCCAGCCTAATCAGGTCCGTACGGTGTGCCCCAAAAACGGAAACCCTATGACCCCGCCTAGGCCTAGACTTTGCAGCCCTAAAGACCAACCTTAAGCACCCAAAACCCACTTTTTTGTAGGTTCTTATTATAAACCCTAATATGGGATTTATAGGGACCCTACAAAAAAGTAGGTTTTGGGTTCTTAAGGTATGGTTCAAGGTTTAGGGTTTACGGTTTAGGGGGGTCTGGGCTGGAGCCTCTCGCCTCGCCATTCCCGGGGCCACAATCCAGCATGCAGACTCTGCTGCATATTTCAAAGGGTCCAAGCTATAGTATAGTATATACTTTGGGGGCCCAAATACCTACAAAGTAGCTGACATATTAGTACTTGGACCCATTGGGTATGTTGTGGAAGCAACCTAGTCAATCAAACGTGCTTCCACCCTGAAGCGTAGAGTTTTGAGTCTTCCAAGATATGAAATTCAAACACACAGACGATTAGTGTTTAGGATTTGGAGTCATGGTTGCCGCGACAACCTCCACGCTCTGCAGGGCGAAAACCACAGAGGAGGGCTGCGGAGCGAGTCTTTTGTGGCACCCTCCGTACAGCCAGATGAGTGGGAGCACAAAAAGGGCTTGCAGGAGTTCCCGGTTTAGGGTTTAGGGTTCGGGTTTAGGGTTTAGGGTACAGCCAGATGAGTCCCGGTTTAGGGTTTAGGGTTGAGTTCCCTGGGACATACTTACAGGAAGGGATCCATTGTCGCTACGCCACGGTCTAGGGTTTAGGGTTTAGGGTTGAGGGTGCTACGCTCTATGCGCTACACCTACACCAAACATAAATCGAGATTAAGGATACTACGGAGAATCTGTTCCGCACCTCACACTCGTAGTGGCCATCTTATCCCCATGGACAAACAACCAGAACAATCATGTTCGTCCTACTATAGCTACGGTGGCCACAGGAATCAGAAACAGCACTCAGAAGTCGTAGCAATGCAGCGGCGGCAACGAGTTTTGTCGGTCCGAAAGATTGGTCCGTAGGCTCTTAAACTTCTCAACTTCAGCAACAGCTTGGGTTTAGCATTGAAGTGCTTTTAACCTAAACCCTAAACCCTAAACCCCTAAACCCCTAAACCTCTAAACCCTAAACCCTAAATCCTAAACCCAAACCCTTAACCGATCTTAAGGTCCGTGCACCAGAGACCTTGACGCCGGAACGGCTGAAGCCAGATACCCGGAGAAACGGCTCAGAGATTTAGGGCTTGGAGATTCTAGGGTGATGGTTTTGGGGTTTCGGGTTTTAGGGTTTCGGGTTTTAGGATTTCGGATTTAGGGTTTTGGGTTTAGGGTTTTGGGTACCCTAAACCCTAAACCCTAAACCCTAAACCCTAAATAGGGTTTAGGGTTTGAGGGTCATGGGAGCTCTGTGTCCCCTTCGTGCCCACGGCGTGAAACGGACTCATGAGAAGAAATTGCTCGAAAGTAGTTCTCTAAATTCGGGCCCCCTTTAGGTCCCCCAAAATAGTACGGTCATGGGTTTAGGGCTTATAGTAATTAAAGATCCTGAAAGGGACCCTACTTCAGAGAGCTAGTCATGCAGCAGACTTCGGCCTGAAATTTCAGACCTGCCTTAAGAACCCAAAACCCACTTTTCTGTAGGTTCTTATTATAAACCCTAACATGGGATTTATCGGGACCCTACAAAAAAGGTAGGTTTTGGGTTCTTAAGATAGGAGGTCTAGGACTCCGTCTTCAGGCTTAGGGTTTTAGGGTTTGGGGCTTGGCATTCTAGGGCTTCAGGGTTTTAGGGTTTAGGGCTTGGGGTTCTAGGGCTTTAGGGTTTTAGGGTTTAGGGTTTTAGGGTTTAGGGTTTGAAGCATGTTACCTATAGTCTGCATTGTAGTTCCTTTTAGCGGTTACCTTATAGGATTCAGAATATATAAATTGGTTAAACCAAAAAGAAGGAACTAGAATGGAGACTACAGGTAGGGTTGAAAGTCTTTGAGGTTTAAGTTTATAGGGTTGGGGGCTTGGGAGTTTAGGGGTGAAGGCGTAGGCCGGGTAGGCAGAGATTGGAGGGTTCAGGAGATTGAGGTGGGTTTGGGGTTTGGGGTTTAGGATGTTGGGTTTCCGGTGTTAGGCTGCGCTGTGTTCTTTGGCAGTTGTAGCTAAGAGACCCTGCAAGATTCGAGTCTGGACGTTTAGAGCTTCATGGGCTTTAGAGTTTAGGGTATCTATAGATTCTGAAAACACATATATATATATATAATGTATATACATAAATACAGGCCTTTGCGGTCTAGAAGTGTTCATAATGAGTATCAGTGATTTGCTTTATTTGCTCGAGCCCCCTTGACAGATTGTCAGCAGCTCCAATGCCGGAGCGTCCGGAGGTCGGTACAATGCCCCCTCAACCCTAAACCCTAAACCCTAAACCTCTATAAACCCTAAACCCTAAACCCTAAACCCCTAAACCCTAAACCCTAAACCCCTAAACCCTAAACCCTAAACCCTAAACCCTATATAAGGCCTAAAA